ATACTTTGATGTAATGTGATATTTTAAACTGGCATCAGGGAGTGAAGGCATTGGAGTGTGTTTTCCACCTTGGAGAACGGTCTGAGTATACCACTTAGGGTGTATCCCTCGGTGTCACAGTGAGGCTGTGCTCCAAGGTGGAAGCCTCAGTCCAGAGCCTCCACTGACTCATTTGATTTCAGACTAGAAACTGGAGAAATAAAAGAAGGAGCTCATCGGGTTTTGGCAGGATCTCTAGGTAACTGGGTGACTTTGCTGGAGGTGTAACAGTCGCTGGAGAAACCAGCGTCTGGTGGTCTGGTGAGGGTTGTGACTGTGACCAGCCGTTGTATCTTCCTTGCATGCACATCAACAATCCCAAACACTTTCTCACCCATTTGAGCCAGAGGTGTTCTTCTTCCAGAATATGGAGGCTGACAGTATGGCAGAGTAGAAAGGCATAAGGCTTACATGGTGGGGGGGGGGGGGATAGCACAGAGGGCTGCGGGGCATAGCACTGAGTCCTGGCTATACTCTTTTATTACCAGCTGTGAGATCTTTTTTTTGGAGAGGTTTTTTGTTTGTTTGTTTGTTTGTTGTGGGTTTTTTGTTGTTGTTGTTGTTTTGTTTTTTTGGTTTTTTTTGCTGTAGGGCACGTGCACTCACCAGAAAGACAGAGAGAGACAGAGAGACAGAAAGCAAGAAATCACCCCCCAAGGGGTTGGCCATGCCACATCCCTTCTCCTCCATTCTCCTCTCGGGATCTTGGGCACGCACGCACACGCGCCCGGCGTGAGTTTAAGCCACCAGGTCAGGGACTCAAACCACAATCAACTATGTGGGAGTCCAGCAACATAGCCATTACGCCAACTGCTGGTCCCTGAACCGTGAGATCTTTAGCGGTTATTATACTTTTTTTTTTTGGTTCTCACTTCTTTTCATCAATAAAGTGGGGATAAGAATACCATGTGGCGTTGTCTTGGAGATTATGCTACCTACAGTTTATCTATTCCACGTGTATTTGAGACCTGCCCTTTGCCACATACCATCCAGAGTGCTGATGACACAAATCTGATTTCAAGAAGCTATACTGGTTGAGAACCCCTCATTCAAGATGCTTGGAAGCCGAAGTGTTTTGGACTTTGAAATTTTTCCTATTTTGGAATAGTTGCACATACATTATGAGACATCTTGAGGATGGGTCCTAAGTCTAAAGACAAAATCCACTTATGTTTCATATGCACCCTTATACACATAGCCTAACAATAGTTTTTTGTTGTTTTTTAAATTTTTCTTAAAAATTATTTATTTTACTTATTATTAGTTTTTAATGTGACCAGGGGGAAACAGAGAGAGAGGGAAAGGGAAAGTGAGAAGACAAGCCACTAGGTTTGGGACTTGGTCCATGGTCAGCCTTGTGGGAGTCTAGCACCCTAACGACCATGCCACCTGCTGGCCCTGAAGGTGGTTTTATACAGTGTGTTCATACTATAGCATTTCGACTATGACCTGTCATGCGAGGTGAGGTGCGGGATTTTCCATCTGTGGTGTCATGCCAGCACTCAAAAAGTTAAGGATTTGGGGCATTTCAGATTTTGGACTTTTGGAGTAGATAGCCAAGCTGTCTATCCTAATGAAGAGAGAGACATGATGAAGGGGAAGGGTAGTATGGATAAGTTACTGAGATGTGCGAATGGGGGTGAGCAGATCGGGGAGGCCTTGGAGCCATGGTGACAGCTTTGGGTTCTGCTCTAAATGATATATGGAGCCATATAAGGGTTTCCAGAAAAGGATGGCCCAGGGCTAGCAAGTGGTATAGTGGTATAGTGGTTAAGGCATTGGACTCCCACGTGGCTGACTATGGTTCGAGTCCCAGACCTAGAGGCTTGAAACTCATGCCAGCTAGGTGAGCGTGTGTACCAGAAATCCTAAGAGGAGAAGGGATTGTGGCATGACCATCCCCCGTGGGGGTTAAGTTCTCATTTTCTCTCTGTGTCTCCAGCTTGTGCACATGCTCTATAGCAAAAAAAAAATACTCTCTTAAAAAAAAGCCAATCTGCCTTACATTTTCAAAAAATTATTCTGGCTGCAGAGCTGAAAACAGGCTTTAGGTGGGCAAGGACAGAAGCAAGAAATTAGGAGGTCTCAGGGATGTAGGTGAGATGGTGTGGAGTCTGAACAAGAATGACAGCAGCAGAGTTAGTGAAAAGAGGCTTTGGGACCAGCAGTTAGCATAATGGCTATGTCGCTGGACTCCCACGTAGTCGAACGCGGTTCGCGTCCCGAACCCGGTGGCTTAAAATTCACGCAGGGCGCCTGTGCATGCGTGCCCAAGATCCCAAGAGGAGAATGGAGGAGAAGGGATTGAGGCGTGGCCATCCCCCCTGGGGGGGTGATTTCTCGCTTTCTATCTCTCTGTCTCTCTGTCTGTCTGGCGAGCGCACGCACCCTATAGCAAA